AGCACCAAATATATATATATATATATATATATATTATAGTAATTTCACAAAATTATTACATTAACATAGAATTTAATTTAATTTTGTCTGCACACATTACATTAGAATTTGAGATTTTGAGAGAAAATGTGCTTCAGTGTCACATGATCCTTCAGAAATCATTCTAATATGCTGATTTGCTGAATATATGCATACATATATTTTGCTATATATCAATATTTTGTGGAGACCATGATACATACCATTCAAAAGTTAGGATTAAGATCAAAATTGAATTTTATTCAGCAAGAACACATTAAATTGATCAAAAGTGACAGTAAAGAACATTAATCAAAGAATCCTGGAAAAAAATGTATCACTGTTTCCACAAAAAGATTAAGCAGATTAAACATTCAACATTGATAATAACAAAAATCATAATTAATACCTGAGCACCAAATATATATATATATATATATATATATTATAGTAATTTCACAAAATTATTACATTAACATAGAATTTAATTTAATTTTGTCTGCACACATTACATTAGAATTTGAGATTTTGAGAGAAAATGTGCTTATTTGTCACGAAAATAATATCACAGTGCAAAAAATGTTAATGGATCTACACAGGCTTCATTTTCATTTCTTCATTTTCATTTTCAGAACATATTTTCTGATTTTTTTTCTTTTTGATTTTAGGGTGAATTGAAACCTGGACCTGTTTTCATTAGAACTAGCCACATAATTGGAGCATTGCTGGTGTAATTAGTGTGAAGAGACCGGCTGGGCGACACCTCGCTCATGTTTATTCATTACACACACCACAGACGGCGTCTGAGCGCACTGAGCGTGTGCGAGCTTCCAATAATAGCTGCGGTCCCAGGTGAGGGTCAGAGAGTGTCTGTCTGAGCCTCAGAGACACTAAAACAGATCGATAGAGGATCCTGACACAAACACCTCTCTCTCCCTCTGTCTGTATGAACAAAGTAATCTTCAGGTCGCACCGCTCGAAATGATGGACGGCAACAACAACTCCTTTCTTTTTTATTGCAAGAGAGATGGGGTAGACTATCGAAAACCAGTTCTTATTAGATCTCTTTTTAAGTCAATACTGTAACTGCTTTCTGATTTTCATGACAGTTGTTCCTTGAACGTCTCCATTCGTTCACATTTAAATTTAAATACACATATTAATATATAATATAAATAAAAAATTGCATTGATAAATTTTTTTAAATACACACACACACACACACACACACACACACACATACACACATACACACACACACACACATATTCCATCCCTAGAGACAGACAGCACAGACACAGTATCAGACAGGGTAACATGACAAATAAACTCACCTGTATATGGACACATTCTCTATTAGCTGATTTGATACACTGTCGTAGAGAACAATCCCTCGAGGAGAAACCTTCAGCGTCACCTTATGAAGCTTCTTCCCACCAGCTTTAGAGAAACAGAAAAAATGGCTTTACTAAGCAGCTCATACTCAAGCCATCAGAGCCAATTTTGAAGGCTTTTACAAAAGAGCTTATTGTTTTTTTTCAGCATCTTGTGCAATGAGCAGCATGCTTTAATATATCTAAAATAAATAGAAAACAAAATATATTAAAATGGCTTTCTTTAATTAAATAAAAAATAAAATATAAATATTAGAAGGAAAAAACATTAGTTACTTATTAGAAATGTTTAAACATTTCTAATGTTAAAATGTTAAAGCAAAATATAAATATTAAATATTATAAAATGACAAAAGCACAAACAAAATTACTAAAACTTTAACTAAAGTTCAAATAAAAACTGAAAATGTCAAAATAAAGGTCAATTCAAAATATTGATAGATATTATAACAGTATATTATCAATCAATCAATTCTGTTTATTTCGGTCCTTACAGACAACTTTTCACAAAAATTTCCAAAAAAAGGTGTAGGCAGAAGCCTTGCTTATTAAGCCTACACTTTATACATATTTAACCGATGTACGTCACTTTTTCACTAGATTTGATAATACAAGATAAACAAAAGTTACATAATACATTTCCCAAAATGTACATTCTTAATTACAAACATACATAATTACAGAAATACACATTCCAACTATTACTTCAATATGTTAAATAATACTTACACAATTTATTGAGAATGAGTAATATAATTATTTAACACCATGTTTTTATACATTTTCTTAAATTTGCAAAGTGAATTGCATAATTTTACACAATTGTTCCATAGATTTACCCCTTTGACAGATATACACCTATTTTTAGCATTAGTTCTTGCCCTTACTTTTTTTAAACATATACATTCCTCTTAGTTTATATTGACTTTCTCTTATTTTGAATGGGTGTATTAATATATAATAAGCAATACTAAAATAACACTGCACATAAGAAGTTGTTTAGAAAAAAATTAAACACAATTTACTAAATTAACATGACTAAATTACAGCCTTGGTCATATGAAATATGGAATACACTCTGATATCCTGAATAGAGAAAAAAATCATAATATTAATCTTTAATAACCACAACAGACAAGCAGTTTCATAAGCTATTGATTTGGTAACTGAAATGCACTAAACTACAACTCACTGATCTTAGTTCTGATATACAAAAAAAGTGTGAATTTTTTTTATAATAAGCAATACTAAAATAACACTGCACATAAGAAGTTGTTTAGAAAAAAATTAAACACAATTTACTAAATTAACATGACTAAATTACAGCCTAAAATACTTCATTTTACCTTTAACACCTTTATTCTACCTATATTGACTCAGGAAGTCTTTTTTATTTTTTTGCTTGACTATTTGGCTGCAAGGAGGCTTTGCTGTTGACAGTCAAACAACTGCTAAACTAAAGGTAGCACTGTCATTTGTTACCTCATACATCATCTTCAGCAAGTCAAACAATCAATCACATTTACAGTCAAAAGTAAGAGTTATCAAGTAGGAAAATTCCACATCTGGCTTTGAGTGGTTCTTAAACACACTTTGCAATGACTCACAGGCTGACACAGTCCGTTCGGTATGCAATTGATTTTTACTGCTGAATCGCAACAATCTGGAGTGTTTAATAACCTCAAAACAACATTATATCATGACAGGATCTAGCCTGTTGAAACACAGAACCACACCCAGAAACCCTGAGACACACACACACACACACACACACACCACTTGCCAAGCATAAGAGACACAATAGAGCAGTGCACGTTAATTAAAGGTGTCAAACTCTACACTTTTTTGCATTTTTCCCTTACAATTTTAAAAATAAAGTTTTTTTTTTATTGGCATTGATGGTTCCATGAAGAACCTTTAAAATCCATGGAACCTTCCAATTGCACAAAATGGTTTTTATAGTAGAAAAAGTTTCTTTAGAGGAATAAAATGTTCTTCACACAAAGAAAAACTGTTATTTTAAGTACTGTTCAATGAAAGGAAACTCAAATGGCTCTTCTATGGCATCTTTGCAAAACCCCCTTTTGGAACCTTTATTTTTCAGAGTGTATGGTAGTCTGGTTAAGATGACAGAAACTGAAACTCCTGGATCAATAAAGCATATTTTAGGGCTGAAACGATTCCTCGAATACCTCGAGTAACTCGAATACAAAAAAGCATCACACGAAGAGTGCCATTTTCACCTCTAAAATCAGCATGATTACACATGTGATTTTATTCAACAGTTCAATAAATAAGAAGGTAATACTATGAGACTTACGTTTTAGACACTATATTGCCTGTTTATGCTTTATTTTGCCAACAAAAAAATTCCAAACACAGCCACAGCTCTGTTTTGCGTCTCTGAGCAACATGACTGCGATTCGTTCCTGAATGAATCAACCGTTTAAATGCTGATATCATTTGTTTGGTAACAGCCCAAATGTCTTTTATTCTAATTGACTGATTAAATGTAAGAATTTGACTCAAAAGATGATGCACACTTTTAGAAAAAAAGGCTTTATAAAGGTAAAATGCCCGTAACATGTACAAATCTATTTAAACTTATTGGAACAGATTAATTTTTATCACTCTCACAAAAGCCACAAAGCCTTCCAAGAAGACAGTAAAGGCTTATGTCATGCTTGAGCTTTAGTTAGGCTGAAACTTGAAAGTTAATTTGCACGACATGAATGCAATGTTTAGGTATTATTATTATTTGTATTACTATTATTTTGATTTATGCCTTAGTTTTAGTTTGTACTGTTTACCTTTTTTAAAGTAATGTGAAATAGATTTTTGTATTCACGGTTATTAATGTATACAATTTCAGCAATAAAAATGTTAATTTTTCTAAAAAGAAAACAAATTAGTTGTTTATTTTAAGAGATCTATCTTAAATATCTCTATATTTAGTATTGCTCTTTAATAAAGAAAAATGACTTCTTATC